AGTGTAATCTCATTAAATAAAAAAAAAAAAATCATCTTTTTTTTTCTTCTTCTTTTATTTTGAGACAAAGTTTTTCTGTGAAACAGTCCTGGCTGTCCTGGAACTTGATTTGTAGACCAGGCTGGCCTCAAACTCATAGAAATCTGAGTGCCTCTGTCTACTGAGTGCTGGAGTTATAGATAAGTGTCACCACCACCTGGCCAATCATCATATTTTTAGAAAGAATAGGAATCAAGTTCTTTATAGTTTATTATTTAAAACACGTATTTTAAAGTTGTACAGAATTTCAGACTAAAATACTTCATTTTTTAAAAACAGGATCAGAATGCAATGATTAAAATGTGAATATGCTCAGTTCTTCACTATGATTTTCAAACTGGATTTTTAGCCTCCCAATGAATTTTTTGTTGTTGTTGTTTCTTGAACTTTTAGCTCTTCAAAAGCACTTTAGAAAATCTTCAATCAAAAATAACTTATTGGGCTGGAGAGATGGCTCAGTGGTTAGGAGCATTGCCTGCTCTTCCAAAGGTCCTGAGTTCAATTCCCAGCAACCACATGGTGGCTCACAACCATCTGTAAAGAGGTCTGCTGCCCTCTTCTGGCCTTCAGGCATACAGACAGAATATTGTATACATGATAAACAAATAAATAAATATTTTTAAAAAAAAGAAAAAAAATAACTTATTAATTTCTATCACTGGTGCTTAGCCTTAGGTAGTAACTTAGGCACCAGTTACTAAACTGAATTCTGTCTTGTACTTGTAATTCTCATGTTACACAGTTGATAAGGCACTTTGCATTGTATTCGCTTGATACTTTAATTGACTCAGGGAAGAATTTATGACTTAGAGGCCAAATCTGGCTTGCACCTTGTAAAGTTTTACTGAGGCATATCTGTGTTTGTGTGTTTACACGCTGGCCATTGCAATGGCAGAGTTGGATAGTTCTGATAGAGAAAGCATTCTACAATTTAGAACATTGAATTTGGGGGGTTTGGTTGTTGTTTTTGTGTTAGAGACAGCATGGCCTTCAACTCCTGATGCTGCTATTTCCTCCTCCCAAGTCCTGGGATTATAGATGTCCATGCCTAGCTCTGAAATACTTGTTTACTGGCCCTTAAAAGAGATTTTCTAAACTTTATGTTAGATCATTAGGATTGCCCCCACAGGACATGGATACTCTGTTTTTCTTCTCATTTTGAGTGTCTTGTGTTGATCTGTCTCCATGTTTAACTTTTCCATGACTTAGTAGACTTGATCTGTAGTCTACTCCAAGGCCATTGAAGGTTTTTCATTTTTTTACTGTGTTTTGCTTCTACTCTTTTTGTTCTACTCTCTTCTGAAATCTCAACTTATTTGTGAATGTTGCCAGTCTTTTCCACGAGAGTATTTAAAATAATGATCATAGCAATTTAAGTTACCCAAGTTACCCTGATAGCCTTAGCATTTGAGTCACCTCTGGATTTTGTTTGTTTGTTTGTTTGTTTATTTACTTATTTATTTTGCTTGTTTGTTTATTTCCTTAGTGGTGCTGGGGATTTAACCTAGTGTCTCATATAAGTACTCTACAGCTTACCTGATTCTCTGGCCATGAATTTAGATCAACTAATTACTTCATTTATTGACAGGGTTCTTTTCTCTTGCTTATAGTATGCCTTGTAATTTTTCTTGTTCATGATTTCAATTAGTAGTAGGTCAGTAGAAACTGGTGGAAATATGATTTATGCCTGAAAACAGGAATGATTCTTCTTGGAGGGTACTAATGAAATTTGTAGGTAGTGCTATGAAGTGGTTAGAGTCAGAACCCAGGGCCCTGGCAGCTTTAACAAGAAACAGTGAACAGCAGAAAAAGGAGTTCTACTCAACGTAGCCAATAGGGAGAGAAGCAAATTATAGAAGACAGAGGAATACACAATTGGCATCCACCCCTGTGGATCCGTCGTCTGTTCCAGTCTCACTTGCAAGGTTATCAGACGTATTCCTGGGAGATTCGCTCCCTCTCCAGCAGGCACTATAGCCCCAGTCCGTTTCCTATTCCAGCATGAGACTCTTGGGGAAACTCCAGTTCCTTGGGGTCCCCAGTTTCAATGGGCTGATAGTCAAAGGGAGTGGCACAAGTGTCTCTCTTTGCTCTTGCCAGGATGGTTTCTGCAGATATTGTGTTACTGTTGCCATAGTTACGTTCATACTACAAATCCCCCTACTCTTACCTAGTATTTCGGTGGGAGCTGGATTGCTGAAGAGTTTCTCTTCTTCAGTTCTCTCTGTATGCCTGCCCCTCAAAGAGGGTTTTGCCCTCTGTTTTCTAACCCCCCTTCAGCAATAGATTGTTATTCCTTATTTCTCAGTGTACACTAGCCAGGCAGTGATGGAACTGGAATGTCAACCATGTTCTAGGCAGACTCCCTGTTCCTGAATGATGTGTATGCAGGGGTGTGTCAGAGTGGTCCTCAGTGCTCTTGCTTCCCCTTCAGAAGCAGAGAACCCCTAGTTATCTTAGCATGGAAGGAGGATTATATTCCTTTTCTCCCTCTCAGAGCCACAGTTCCTCACCAGCTATGCCCTGGGCGTATTTATAGGGTAATAGGATTGGCTATTCTATCCTCAAAAGCTGTAGGACTTTTGTTCATATGAAAAAAATGTCTGGCCCATTGGTGGTGGTTATGGTGGTGGTGGTGTGGTGGTGCATGCCTTTAATCCCAGCACTTGGGAGGCAGAGGCAGGCGGATTTCTATGAGTTTGAGGACAGCCTGGTCTACAGAGTGAGTTCCAGATCAGCCAGGTCTTAAAAAACAAAAGAAGAAAAGAAAAGGAAAAGGAAAAAGTGTCTGGCAGGGTCCTTGTGCTTTTTCCATGGCAGTGACCACTTAGCTTCTTCAGGCCACCTTTTCTGGTCCCCAGTCCTGCTTCTCGTGTTTCCTGTGCATACCTACAGGAGGTTTGTGGGAAGCCTGTGTGGTGGTGTGGACTGTCCATGTATATGCTCCAGAATTTTTATATGTGTTGTATCTCTAGACCCAGCTTCATGGTGTGCTAGAACTCATTAGAAAACTTAGTTTAATTCTCCCCAGTTGATGCCTTATGACCCTCTTTTGGATTCAGGCTAGTTGGTTGCCCTGTGCCCTCAGCTCTCTTTGATGGATTTGTTAGAATTATGATTTTAAAGGCCTTGCCTGTCAGGCCTCACTCATGCTTTGTTGTAACTCAGATGACCAAACCAGTATGTCTCTGTTGACTTTTATCACTTGGTTGATTTGTAGGAAGGGTTTGCTATATTGTTGAAAGTTACACATATATAATACACACATGCTGATTTTCTTTACCTCTCTCTCATGTTCGCAACATGTATTATGTTCTCTTCTAAATGGCCATCAGAATGCAGAGGAATAGCTACTTAGGAAAGTGGGTAGGGTTGGGTTCTCAATAAAACCATGGAAACTACAGAGTAATTTGGCCATAAATTGTTCAGAACATTATTCTAAAGTCTATAATTTATTATGTTCTGAGTTACTTTGACAGGGTAAGATGCTTTAAAATTGCCTTAGCTCTTTGATTTCTGTTCTATAAATAGCCATGTTCCTTAGAGAAAAAATGTACATGTATAAAATATTCTTTGTTATTAATAGGCTTTCAGATACTAGGAACTCAATGACTTTAAATACATTCTTAAGGAGAATAGGATGGGGAAGTGGTGTGCTGATGTGGTCTGTTGCTTTCTTTAGTAGAGGTGAATAGTCCCTAATTATGTTTTTTTTTGTTAAATAGGATAAATTAAAAATAATACTGTTTGTTTAACTCCCATGGTTTTGTAGATACAACGGAGAGTGGGATCTAGCTCAGAAAGCATTGGATGATATTATATACAGAGCCCAGCTAGAATTATATCCAGAGCCACTGCTGGTAGGTTCTTTGCTTAATTATACAAATTCTTAACTTACAATTTTTCAGAACTATGCATTGAGAAGTGATACATAGCATATTAAAATGTCATTATTATTCAGTGCTTCATGCTTTGTTGTACTGGGAAATGTTACATTTAAATTACTTGCGTAAGTTTGGAGATTTAATTAGACTGGTTTAAGATATTTCACTGATAGCATTCTCTTCTGCTTATAAGAACTTCAACATTTAGATTCATTTGTCAATTAGCATTTGATATTGAGAAAGAAGCCTAATTTATTATTTAACAATCACAAACTTCATTTCATTCATACTGTTTTAAGATACAAGTATCCCTCTGACTCTCTTACTCCTTATTGGTAGGTATGTTGATTATCATATAATACCTTGGAGAAAGTATTCTTTTTTTATAAATCTGTTAACACTTAGTCTTATATTTTATCTAAAAGTAAATACTACATCTATTTATTGATCTTAGACTTTATTTTTCCTTTTAGGTTGCTAATGCAATAAAGGCTTCATTGCCTCATGGTGCCATGAAATCTAGTAAGGAAGGTACACGGTGTATTCAGGTTGAAATCACACCAACATCCTCTAGAATATCAAGAAATGCAGTTACCAGCATGTCAATAAGAGGTCACAGGTGGAAAAGGCATGGTAAGAACTCTTCACATTTGAGTCTTAGTGGCTCTTTCACAATTCTTTCTGCGGTTGTAGTACTAGAACTTGTAACGTTAGGAAATAGCACCATTGTAGCCTGGAAAAGGAAGTGCTAGCTCATCACCTTTGACTTTTATCCAGGGCAGTAGACAATGAGGGGAGTGGACGTTCTTATGTTCAATATATGAATGAAGAATTATGTAAAATTGTACCAGCTACAGCAGCGTAGGAGAGTAAGAAAATGCATTTTAGCTACTCATATACTTTAAGTTGCTATTCTTGAGTAGTTGTGCATAGTCCTTAATGAATGTTCTTACGTCTCAGTCAGGCATTTACCCAGCAGGTTTTTCACACTGGAGTGAAACTAGCAGTGATCTTACGTTCTGTCTGGATTCCCGGGTGAAGAATGCCATGCTGTCAGTACAACAACAGGTGTTTCTGTTTTACAAGTTTATTTTCATTCAGGACATGTCAGTATTCCTTTTTATTGTTTCATTTTACTCTTGTAAGATGTTGCTGGAAGTTAATTTCATTCACCATGCCACCTCCATGCTTTCCCACTTCGGTCTCTTCTCTCAATCTACTACTTGTTTAATCCTTCTTCCTATCTGGCAGTCACGGTAACAAGAACCAGAGGATCACTGTCACCCTCCTCAGAAGCAACCTTTGCATGGGAGGCAGGAAACTTCGTCCTTACCTCGAGAGAGCATGGGGGGGGATGTGTGTTAAGGGGGAGGACTCTACTCTGCCTTCCTCCTCCTCTGCTGATGAAAATGGCAGCTCAGCTTGATAGACTATAACTCATATCAGTGTTCCTTGGGGGAGAGAATGGACAAAAGAGGAAGAAGACATTAAAAAAGAACAGATCATAACGCAGAAAGCTAATCCTGACTGAGGCTTGCCATTTCCCCCTCAGACGTGCTAAGAGAGAATATGGCAGAAAAGAACAAGAGTGAAGTTATACCATTTAACCAATGATCAATTTTTGATCCTACTCCCTTTTAAAATTACTGTAGCAGTCCTAAAGGTCCAACAGGGAGGCATAAAAGAGGTGGTGCTGTTTGCTATTAGGCAAATAAACATACAAAATCCATTTAAACTTGCGAACCCCAAATGTACTTCAGTGAAACTATGCTGTTTAATGAGAATACATTAGAGAAAGTAATCTAATGGATAAGTGATACACTAAAGATTAGTAATTCTGTCCAGCTTCATTGTATGAAAGTAGGTGCAGATACAACAAACTGGATTGTACTGGCCTCATGGACATAATCACTCCCAAACTACTGCTTCCAAAAAATGCAAGAATGAATTCTAATTTCCACTTTCCCTTCTTACTGTTTAGATGGACATATTGGGAAGGGGGGGGTGTCATACAGTTCAAACATGAGAGAAATATTGATGCTCCCTAGTTTGTGCATGTGCGTGTGTGTGTGTGTGTGTCTATTCACACACCTGCATGTATGTGTGACCATGACCAGATATTTAAAAGAAAGAGATACATATCCTGCAACAAGATGGAAGTTATTTTTTAGAAACATTTTGTAGGAAAAAAAATGCCAAAACAAGATCAAAGACTTCTTGTGTATATTGCTTCTGTTATGCTCTTATGGATCTGTGTTCAATTTTGACTGCTCCTTGCAGGGTTTGTGCTCTGTCTCAGGCTATAACCTTATTAAAGTAGCCTTTTTATTGTCTGTTTTTATGTTAGCCTTCACATCACTTGAGCACAAATGTCATAGATGAGGAAAGAGAAGAGAATGAACTATAAAAAGAGAAGAAGACACAGCCATGAGCAGATACTGAATATGGATTAGCTTTATTTGTCACTTTACACTGTGTGAGTTTCTGTTACCCACTGGCCTACAGTGAAATAATGCTTGTTTAGTCTGATGTTTCTCTGCAGGGGCACCAATGTCCTTTCTAAGGGTAGTTAGTCTTGGTTTTCCTTAGTGAGTTTCCATCGTTACAACAGAAAGTTCTAAACGCCTCCCCCAGGCCCTGTGCTGAAAGCCTGCACTACCTTTCACACCATCATGCTAGCCTAGCATCCAGCCCTGAATCACATAGGAACCATACCTTCCTAGAGAAGCACTGTTCATGGAATTACCACATTCTGCTCAGTTCAGCCCTTTCCTGTGATTTCTGCCTGGACATACTCTTGTCTGGCTCTCTAACCAGCACTGGATTCTCGTGGAGAGGATGATTATCATTGTATACTTCTAAATATGTAGACAGTTTTCAAATTAAAAATAGATTTAAAATTATCTTTATATGATTATATTATTATATTTATATAAAAATTGCAACAATGTATAAGTAAAATATTTTTTAGAAATAGTATGAAGGGGACATAATATGAAAGGACCTGAAGACAGGGTGGCCTCCAGTGGCCTTCCTATATGCTCATTTTTCTGAAGCATGGTACTGTAGAGTCACTGCAGGATATGACTGTGAAGACATTGAGAGTTCCTGTGTTTGATGGAACCCTAGATATGCTTTCTCTTCAGCTCCTCTCCCCACTCTTACCACAGCCATCCTCAGACACACAACTGTAACCCTACACAAGTGGTGATGGAGCCTGGGGAAGAAGGCAGGAAAAGCAAAATCAATTTTAAGGAGTATTCTATTTTTTCTTCTTGAGTCCTTTGTTTTTTCCACTTGTGAGAAAGACTATAGCATTTCTTTTCTGTTGAGCTTTGTCTTAGTTGCTTTTTTTGTATTGCTGTGAAGAGACACTATGATCAAGGTAATGTTGACAGAAGTTTCTGTCCTGCCCAGTCTCACAGCCATTCAGTCCCAACAAAACACACAGAGACTTATTAAATATTAATTATAAATTGGTTGACCTGTAGCTCAGGCTTATTATTAACTAGCTCTTACAACTTAAATTAACCCATAATTCTTATCCATGTTTAGCCACATGGCTTGGTATCTTACTCAGTGAGGCATTCTCATCTTGCTTCCTCTGCATCTACTGGTGACTGCAGACAGAGCCTTTCTTCTTCCCAGAATTTTAGTCTGGTTGCCCTGCCTATACTTCCTGCCTAGTTACTGACCTATCAGTGTTTTATTAAACCAATACAAGTGACAAATCTTTATAAGGTACAAGAGCATTATCTCACAGCACTTCCTCTTTTTTTCTTTTCAAAACAAGAACTCTGAATCTAATCTCTTTTGTTTAGCTTTTTTCCTGACCATTATCCATACCAACTTGTAACCAACACTCCAAACAAAGACAAACATGGCAGCATGTAGGCAGGCATGGTGCAGGAGCAGTAGCTGAGAGCTCACATCTGCTTCACAAGCAGGAGGGAGGGAGAGAGAAAGAAAGAGCTCTAACTGGGAATGGTGCAGGGGCAGGGGGTTAAAACTTCAAAGCCCTCCTCTAGTGACTCATCTCCTCCAACAGGGCCATACCTCCTAATCCCAAACTGTTCCCCAACTAGGGACCAAGCATTCAAATATATGAACCAATTGGGGCCATTCTTGTTCAGAACACCACAGTTGCTGTAGCAAAATACCCTGAAAAAAGAAACTTAAGGGGAAAGGGTTTTTTGGCTCACGGTCTGAGGGTGCAGACTATTGTGGTAGTCAAGGCAGCGGGATGTGAGGCAGCTGCTCACACTGTGTTCCCCAGTCAGGAGGAAGTCAGTTGAAGCATGTTCGCTTGTTTTCCCCTTTTTATAGTCTGGAATCTCAGTCCAGGGAATGCTGCTACCCAGAGTGTGTGTGTTTCCCCTACCTTGGTTAGCTTAATGAAGATAATCCCTATGAGGAAGTCAGAGCCCAGGTCCTGGGAGATTGACAGTTGATCCTAGCCATCACAAGCTTTCTCCTCTATCTGGTTGTATTGTGACCGGTTTTGTCATTTGCTTGGCCCTGTGTTTTACTTTTTAATTAACAGAATGGTTTTTTCGGGGCAAGTTTAGGTTCACAGCAAAAGTGAGTTTATAGGATGTAAGTTTTCATGTCTGCCGTCACTCACTGGCACTACTGTCCTGTCCTGCTGTCAACCAGCAGCACCATTGTGTGCTTGGAAGCTCTGGGTTTGCACCCTATTTCAAGTAACAGTAGAAGGGTAGTCCCAGAGGTAGGTATTATTTTAGAGAAAGCTATTCAACAGTTCACTGTATGTTGACCTTATCTCCACATTTTTTCTCTTGATTGTTTGAATATTACAGTGAAGTGGCTTCATTCAGTATTGTGCCTTTCAAATTCCTCAAGTCTTGTATTTAAGTCTTGAGCAAGTTTTAATGATTCAGCCTATGTTTGGAAATGGAAGTTATAGTGCTCAGTTGTTGCTTTGACTTTTCCTGGTTTCATGGTTAGTGTCTTTATTTACATGGCAATAATTTAATTTTCGGTACTGTTGTATTTCCTTTATTCTGTGATGTAAATAATTCAAGGCAAAGGTATATTTTTCAAATAAAGATTTTTAATTCACTTATATGTTGAGGCTATATAGAAAGTAAAAGGCAAGTAGAGGAAGAAAGATGAGATTAAAAAGTTAAGGATAAATAGGTTGTAACAAAAAAGAGCTAAAAATGAAAATTCTAGTAAGAAAAACAAGCTAAATTTTGATAAAGCAATAGCATTATTTTTAAAACCAAAAAAGGGCAATTTTACCTAAATGTTTTCTGTAAAAACTTAAGTAAGATAGAGAGAAAAGGAAGACAAAGCATTTCTTTGTGCTTTATTCTGTGGTCTTGAGAGTTTCTGTAAAACAGCAGCTGCTTCTGCCTTTGCAGCTGTGGGACCCTGTCCTCTCAGAGTTTCTGGGCCCACAGTTCCCCCCCAGACTTTCTCTTCTTACCCCTCTTCCAGAGAAAATTTAGCTGCTCTTTTTGTTTGTTTCCCACAACTACCAATATTATGACTCATTCTTCTTCACTTAAAAAAAAAAATACCTACATGGGAACAACATAAGCTATTTTCTGTTTTCTCAGAATGGTTACTGAAATAACACTGCCGTTTTATATAAGTCCCCTATTTAAGTTAGAGACTGACATATGGTTGTAAATAATTGAGCACGGGCAACTTTGCAACTGGTAGCTAATAATCCACCCAAGTCTCCATCTCTGTGTCCTTTCCTTTGTGTTTGCCGAGGGATGGCAGCAGCAAGTACAAAGCATTCTGTGTGCTTTGAAGTACCACATGAAGGCTGCTGGGTTTAACCAGCCACAGGCTGACTAGTTCTTTAAGAATTGCTTTGTTAGCTAGCCAGTAATTGTGTTCTTGATAAGTTTTAACTAACTAATATGACATTCAAATGATATTCTCCTCTTAAAACATAAATTCTGAGTTTTCTTAATTTGAAATAAATGTGCTCAGTTTGTGAGTACTATCAAGCGTAAGAGCGTGTGTGTTATACAACACCAGCAGTGTGTCCAGCGTTGCTGTGGACGTCCCTCTAGTACCTGACATATTGTTATTAGAACCAGGATTTTTATTTATTTATTTATTTTAAATTTTTTATTTTTTTATTATTTATTTTTTTATTGAAAAAATTTCCTCCTCCTTCCCGCCTCCCTTTTTCCTCCCCCTCCTCTCACTCCTCTCCCCCTCCCCCCACTCCTCTCCCCCTCCCTCTCCAGACTGAAGAGCAGTCCAGATTCCCTGCCCTGTGGGAAGTCCAAGGTCCTCCCCCCTCCGTCCATGTCTAGGAAAGTGAACGTCCAAACTGGCTAGGCTCCCACAAAGCCAGTTCATTCAGTAGGATCAAAACCCAGTGCCATTGTCCTTGGCTTATCATCAGCCCTCATTGTCCGCCATGTTCAGAGAGTCCGGTTTTATCCCATGCTTATTCAGTCTCAGTCCAGCTGGCCTTGGTGAACTCCCAATAGATCAGCCCCACTGTCACAGTGGATGGGTGCACCCCTCCCGGTCCTGACTTCCTTGCTCATGTTCTTAGAACCAGGATTTTTAAAATGTTGTTTCATACCTAGTTTCTTACTTCATCTTGTTAATGTCAAAACAGAAACTAGATCTCTCTTGGATTTCTCAGTTACACACAGAACTGTCTGCAACAGGAAAGTGTCAATAATAAAGGATAATGAAAATATTTCTAAACTAGATCCTTTGAACATCACTCTACTTTTGGTCTCTTTTTTAGTGGTGGTAGGGATTGAATCCAGGGCTCCCCTGTGCTCTATCCCTAACCTTTGAGTTTTTGAGGTAGGATCTCAGTATGCAGCGCAGGTTGGTCTTAAACACAGAAGTCCCCTCCTTTAGTCTCTCATGTACCTTTTAATTAGTAGATATTTTTAATTAGGGCTACTTTTTAAGTATTTTGACTTAGAATTTCCAAGAATTCAACCTTTTAAGTGGTGAAAAAGAATTTTAAATAAGAGGTAATATGTATTTTTATGTTTTCTGACATGGTGACCAAAAGCAAGTACCTTGAGAATTTTAGAATATTTTACTACTTGGAAGAATCAGAGTGTGGAAGGGAAGGGTGGAGGGTGGAAGGAGAGTGGGGAAAAATATATAATACATTCCTATCCAAACAATTAGAATGAGAAGGATTTAAAAAAAGAAAGAAAAAAATCAGGTTAATACAATTTAGATATATTAAGTCCAAAAAAAAGAGCAATTGAAAGTTACTATGTAAAGCAATTTGATTACAGCTTTGATTTATAAAATTGTTTCTATTTAATGGATACCATGGCACTTAAAACTAAGTGAGATAGTATAGTTCAAGAGACTTGTAATAATGTTATAAAATACCAGAAAAGTCGTTTGTGTCAGAATTTGCTCAGTGATTAAGTGTTCTCTTACTAGATGAATAAAAAAAGAAATGATAAAAAGCTTCAGAGGCTGGGATATAGTTCAGTAGATAAAATACTTGCCAGGCAAGTCTCAGGATCAGAGTTCAGATCCCAGCACCCATTTAGGCACTAGGTGTGGTGGTGCAGGTCCATAACTCCAGCCCTAGGAGATGGGTATTGAAGATGGTAGGCTTCTTGGCGCTCGCTGATGAGCCCTCTGTGTTAGAGAGTTGCGGGTTCATTGAGAGACCCCTTAAAAAACAAGGTGAAGAAGCAACTGAAGGAGATATATTCCTGAACTCTGGCTTCCACACACATGTACATGTGCACACACATAAACACACAGACACACAAATGCAGAAGATACTATTTGTATATGAAATCATTTTGTTTAAACTGGCTAGTGCTGTCGACAGTATTAATAAGTTTCTAGTGTGTATAACATTGATGAAGCAAGACAGTAGTTACTTTGTAACTGTTGAAAAGATAAAAAGTCATAAATGCATTTCTAGGAAAATGTCTTTAAAATAATTGTTTATAAGCATCTCAGACCACTTAAGACTGTCTTTCTAGATAGTGGAGAAGAGACACTCATAAATCTTGAGATGGAATATTTATTTTGCGAGTCTGATTTTATGATTTAATGAGAAAAGGGCTTAAACTGAGGGAAATGAAAGTTGGTAAGAGTTTTTAAAACATTTTGAGAAATAGTGATAATTTGAAACTTTGATGGCAAACTTTAGTAACTGGTTATTAGAATCCCTTCTACATCTCCAATTAGAATGTCACAGATCTAAGCCAGGCCTGGGGGCACCACGAACTGAGATGGAGCATCATGGTGGTCAGGGCCAGCCTGCTCTGCACAGTAAGTTCAGAAGCTCCCTTGCTGCACCGTCTGCTTCTGACTTTCAGGTGTAGCTTTCTGCTCTTGTCCATCTTCAATCTTGCCTTGCTCAGGGAGCAGCCCTTTCAGTCGCAGTCCTGGTTTGGTGCTTCCGTGAAGCTTTGATCTCTTCCTAAGACTACTGGCCCAGGCTAAACCTTGCCACAGAACTTCTTCTTTGTAACTTGGGATATACTTGTGTTCAAGTATATTAAGCAGTGTAACTTCTGTTGCATTAAAATGTTAGTAAAGTATGCAGCTGGTTGGTCCATGTGCCTGTTGGCGGCTGCCTTTGCAGTCTGAGTGCAAGTTCCCTACTGCTTCCACCTCACTTTAGAGCATTCCCACTCCGACTCCCTAGAGTCTTTCCTCCTAACCCTCGAACATTCGAGAGTCATTTCTGCCTTAGGACCTTTGACTAGTTCTTTGGGATGTTTGGCTGAAATTTGACTAGGAAGAAGGTACCCATTTGCACCCTTTCTTCTTCCAGATTGTTCTGTATCCAGTACCTTTTCAATATTCAAATCTCAAGTGATTTTTTTACAGAGAAGCCTCCCAAAGTACTCTGAAGTAGCCTTGCCCCCCATTAGCCTGCTTACTGGCTCCACTATTTTTATTTGCATTTTTCTGCTATTTCAAATTTGTTTTTCTACATAGAAGGAAGAACCGGTATCTATTATGTTTGCCATTGATCTCTCAGTGCCTAAAATGATGGCTTGCACATTATGGGTGCTAGATACATTGCAGTTACATTCATGGGTGAATGAACGGATGACTTGAAAAGTTTTAGGGCGAGCAATTTGTCCGTCTTTTCTAACTGTTTTATTGCTGTATGAAAGCTGGTTTGTGGGGTGGTGTTTGCTCATCTGCAATGCTGTCAGTTGTTAGAGTTTTCCTTGTATTCTCTCACACGTGCATATATTTTCATCATTTACCTCACTTCAATGTTTAGCACTTTGGTTTTGTTTAATTAACATTTCAAATGTTTCTCCAAATTCTCCTGGTAACTTTATTATAGTTATTTTAATGGCTACATAATATATATTCCGCCTTGAGTTGTTAACTTGTCATTTACTCACCTGTGTCCATGTATCGAATAAGTTGCTTCTAATTTCTCCTGTTATAAATAATCCTTTAAGGTACACCCTAGTAAATACGTAGAGGATGTTCCTCCATTTGATAGAATAAAATATGATCGTTAAAAGGCAGTATTAAAGAATAAGAATTGCTCAGGCACCTTCTACCATTTTGTACACGTATGCAGAAGGAGCTGCATTATGGTAACTTGTAGAGGATGCACATGGCTGTCTTTGGAATCTAAAGCTCTTTTCACAATTACTGTCAAAGCTATGTGATGCAGCCCTTCAGCTGTTCTAAGCTGTAGGCTGTTATTTCACAGAGAGGTTTCAGGAGCTTCATACCATACTTTAGCTCATAAGTTTGAGTACAAAGATATGTAAATTCTCTTAATAGTTCAATTGTTTTTCTTAAAATTGTCACCTTTAGTAAACAGAACAGCCAGAAGGCAAGTAAGAACAGAACCTAGATGATCTCATGAGTGCAGATAGAATAGATATTTGGATTTATGAAATTATGTTTGTGAGAAATCAGTTTTAGTAATGGTCGTAATTCACTTCACCTTTTTTCCCCTCAAAAATCAGAAGAAATATTTAGGGTGAAATTATTTGAGTTACGTTTGAGGAGAAAATTGGAATTATCTATTAAAAGTGTACATGGCCAAGCATGGTCTGTAGCTCCAGCTGCTCAAGAGGCTGAGGTGGGAGAATCAGAAGTTCGAGGCCAGACTGGGTTATCCAACAAGAATCCATATTAAAGTAGACACTGACAAAGGATAGCATAGATATTCTTAAATTTTAAATGTTTATAAAGTGTGTGTGTTTGTGTGAATGTAAGTGTGTGTGTGTGTGTGTGTGTGTGTGTGTGTGTGTGTGTGTGTAGGGAAGTAGGGACTTGCGTGCACATTAGGGGGTCTGAGGACAACTTTGTGGAGCTAGCTCTCCCTTCCACCCTCACATGGGTTTGGAGTTTCAAACTCAGGTTGTCAGGTTTACGTGGTGAGTGGCTTTACCCGCTGCATCTTGTCACCTGAGCGAGCACCCCTATCTCTTCATCTCCACAGGTGCCTACAAGCTATGAAACAGTCTCGGAGAATTTTCTTTTTGGTTATTTCAAATTTTTAATTATTTGAAGTCAAATTAAATATTTCAAAAATTTATACCCAACAAGGTTTTAAATTAATTGTAATTCCTTTTGCATACATTTTTAAATTCCAAAGAAAAGCAACTCTTTTGTTATCTAATTATTATTCCCTTAAACATCTTCTACATAATTTTCTTACAGAAAGATTTAATTACCTCTCTTTAGTTATATATGTCATTTTTTGGATAACAATAAAAATGAACTGGCTTATAAAATATTTTTGGTGTTATTAGGCATTATAATAAACCTACATTTAGAAATTCCTACTTCATTTTTCTCAAAGAACTTTTGCTCTTTTGCCATCTAAAAATTTTTATTATCTTAAGCTGTGTATTACTTGACTGAATAAAAGAAAAAATAACATTTTCCAAGCTCACCTTTTTCATATCTTCTGCATTTTCATCTTTACTTATTTAAAGAATAATTTTATCTTGCAATAGAGATTTGTTCAGTTCATTTAAAAAATAAATTTTCAGGCTCTCGGGAGATGAATCAGTGGTTTGGAGGACTGGCTGCTCTTCCAGGGGACCCAGGTTCAATTCCCAGCATCCACATAGATGCTCACAACCATTCCTAACTCCAGTTTCAGTGGACTAGAAGCCCTCTTCTGGTCCACAGAGCACTGTGCAAAAAAGTAGTGCATATGCACACACGCAGGCAAAATAACTACACATATAGAATAAGCATTTTTTTAAAAAAAAAATTAAAGAAAAAATAACCAAAAAGATTTATTGTCTACTATATACAAGTTACTTTCCCAGTATTAGGTATTTAGCGCTGGCCAGACCAAAAATCAGTGTCACTGTGGAATATACAACTAGGTAGACAAGGTGATTGTAGCTTGTTATAAGTAGTTTTCTAAAAGAAACAGAATCAGGGAGAGGCGTTATGGAATATGAGGATGTTGAGACAGGGAAGTCTGCATTGGAAAGTCTTCTGAAGAAGTAAGGTGTGCCCCTCAACTGTTGGGGAAATCCAGGGCCAGTCCAACAGCTCTGGGGAACGAGGGACTCAGTCACACAGTTATACAGTGGAAAATGCCAAAGACATTAAGGAAGGGATCATGTAATAAATGCTTGGGACTTTCATCATCTTTCTTTTCTATCTAATTTCCCTAAAAATAATCTTGCCTTTCTTGCTCCTTCCAGAATAACAGGCTCTTCTTTTTATGGATTTAATGAGTAGTTAAGACATTCTGGTTACCTTTAGAGCACCACTTGTATTATTTAACCAGAGTTCATTGTTACGGGAAAGCGCTCGATCCCCTTTTCAATCCCATTTAATTTCATGATTTTACATCTGCTCAGCCCCTGCCTGCTGTCCTGATAGTGGCTAACGGTTCAGTTGCCAGTGCTGCTTTATTAATGCTCTTCTCACCACTTCTAGTTTCCCTGCGGATTTCCACCAGAGAATCGCCATTATTAAACCTTAACTTCCATCAGCATATTTTCACAAATAAAACCAATTAAAAACAAAAGTAAACTGACCTTGAGTTTATTAATTCCTTGTGTATTCATCTAGAGTGTATTTGCTGTGGCTGTTTGTTCAGCCAAAGTAAATTATTTGCCTTCTTTGAAATGACCAAGATTCTAAACAAATAAATTAAACATTGTTGGGAGACGGCAGAGAACATTCAATCAAGTTGACCTAACAAGTTGAGTTAGAATTCACCATATATGTGAACAGACGATTGAAAACGGAAGTCTCATTTCTTAGCCTCTCTCTTTAAACAGTTGTTTAAACTTTCTAAACTTCAGTTTCCTCTTATGCAAATGGGGATTGAAAGGCCTACTTCAGAGTCTCAGTGCCATAATTGTTTTGAGAATATAATAGAGTAATATCTGAGAATGTGCTAAAAAAAAAAATAGTGCCACTGAGTGTCCCTTATTCTATAAGAATGCCTATGTGTAACTTTTAAAGTTTTATAAAATTTAAATATTACTTCTTGTTGTTGTTTTTTATAACTGGGTAACTGCCAATATTTTTGCTTTACTTTTTGGAGTGGAAATCTCTGTACTGTTTCTTTTTGAAGTGGTTTCTACAAACGCAAAAGAACAAGTCTTGGCTGCCACCCAAGAGTGCCATGGTGATTTTCTCTGTGTTGCCATGACCTCTGGCATGTACTTAAATAGGAATTGATTGCCCTTACTTTTGATTATAGCTATTAGCAACTGGGGACAGGCTTGGTTAGAGAATTTACACACAGGAGCAGCAGGGCCCTAGAGCGCCACATCCTTCAGCCTGCCTGAGAATGAGAAACTTGGTGTGGAGAAGCTGTGGCCACAGGTGTGTAAGCAACAGTGAAGAGAAATAATTGTATCAGCTCATGCTCGTGGCCGCAGGACAGCAGGCGCTTTGAGGAGACGTGCGGAAGTGTTCCCTGTGCGAGGTGCGATAGTCAAAGTCATTTTCCAAATACGAAGGAAGCAGAGCATTGATTTCCAAACTCAGCTGCACATTTGTACCCCTGGAGCTGGAGACATGCAGTGCCCATCCTCCTCATCCTACTGTGAATCAGGCCGCTCAGGGTGGAAACGGGCACCGGGAATGCTCAAAGATGCCCGGGTGTTCTTGACGCAGCAAGCTAGAACTCAGGCATGTGCAGCTGTGGCCTCTGTTCCTTTACTATCTATTCTGCTTCAGACGTTACACAGTAGTAAGGGGTTGATAAGTCTGTCTCTGAAAACATTTTGAAAGCACAGTCATTTTTCTCAAACAGATGTGTGTGCTACATTTTTTTAAGAGTATAAACTGTTTCTGTTTTTGGTTTTGGTTGTGTTGTCTTATGTTTCTATGGAGTTTAAATTTCACCACTTGTCCAATTTTCTACATATTTATATTATTTTTACCACTTATCGCAGATATTTCCTTGAGCTTTAAACCTTTTGGATTTAAGGCACAAAATAAAGTCATCTTTATAGGTATTTACTAGCTGTGAGTTTTGTTCATTTGTTTGAATTACAAGGATATTTTCAGAATAAATTATTGAGAACCAATTTGTTTTTCCCTATCTATTTTCATTTTTCTCCATTGTAGTAGTGGACTGTTACAAGCTGACCAAAATGCGTGGACTCAGTTTGAACCTGAAGAAATAGACTGTTTAATTCTACCTTATGCACATGAATGTTTGCTGAGTGCGGGAGACAACAGCTAGAGCTGTAGGATTACTGACCATGATGCCGTGGTTGAATAAGCATTTCACTAAGTACCATGGTTAAGTCACGCTTAATGTAATCTAATTAAAAATAAGATGTGGCGTGTACAAAGGGGACTTTCTGTGTGCTTTGGTTACCATTGGTGACAAGAGCCAGAGTTGTTGCCTGTATAATTTGGGACATCTACCTAAAGTTTGCATATGTTCAGTTGGTCACAATGTTTCTTTTTCAAGGAATTCTATTTTTGTTTATTAAAAACCGTGTTTCATAATTTATGTGACATATGTGTGAAAAATACAGGCAATGAACTGATGCTCTGCAGACTTTTAAAGAGCCTGAACCTGTTGTCTTCTGTGCTATCACGGGATTGTAAATCATGGAATCACAGTGTCAGTGTTTGGCTTACGTCATAACATTCAATCATCGAGTTTTGTGGGTTTTGTTTTGTTTTGCATTTTCTTTTGTTCTGTCTTCAGCCATCATTTTGTCTTATCATCTTCAATTCTAGAGCAACCTGACAGCAATAATGATGCTACTGAAGTGGGCATCCTTGTCATTCCTGAGATTAGTGTCACAAGTGTGTCTGGAGAGAGAACCGGGAATGGGGAAAAAGGCAGAGCACTAGGAGACATTGATGCCCAGCACATGCAGGGTGTGCAGGAGACAGCCACAGACCCTAGAAGTGAGAGCAAAGGCTTGCCTGAGCTCAGGAGGCAGAAATCTGTAAGAAAAATGATGGAGGATGGAATGGCCACAGCTGGCAGAGTGCAGTTTTAGCAGAGCACTTTATAGCCACACCCAAGGTATCCCGAGGCAAGGGCACTGGTGCATGCTATGCCACAGTTGCACAGCCACAGACGATTTGCATGTCATCTAATAAAGTGCATGAATTGTGCATCATAATTTCTCAATGACTTTAATGCTCTTTGGAATGATTATCCCTAGATGATCTTTGAGGAATCTGTTAGAGAAACTGAGGCAGAAAACTGCTTCTGAAGTAATTTTCTGCTTAAGTTTGGAACTAAAATGATTTTCCCATCTTATATATAAAGGTTAATGTATATAGAATTTAACCATATATATGTTTTTTTTAAATTCTTTGAGTATTTGGAATAGAGAATACAACCTTCTTTTAAAAAGAAACCTCTTTAAATATTCTTCTGTTTTAAGTTCCTTGGTAGGAGCTGTGATAGAGAGGTCACCCCCCCCCCAGTGTATAATGTCTGATGGTTTTTCTAATTGCTTCTGCTCTTTGCATGCATAATATATTCTAAATCACTGTCATTTAATTACAGTGAACTTTTTTGACATTTATAGAATGTTTCAATTTATCCTCTGATTTCATTTTATAATCTATTGCTTTAAGAAATTCTGCTAAGGTATTGATTTAAATGTAATTGATTTGGTATTACTCTTTTAAATGTTGCTTGAGATACTTAATGTTAATTAATCTTTGTCATTTCTTTGTTTAGGAGATACAGAATTAACAGGTCAAGAAGAACTGATGGAGATAACTGAAGTTGACGAGGGATTTTATTCCAGGGCTGCGTCTAGCACCAGCCAGTCGGGTCTCTCAAACAGTAGTCACAATTGTAGTAACAAGACAGGTGTAGGAAAGAACCAGAGACGGTCAGGAGGAAGCAGAGCTGGAGCAAAAGAGAGAGAACCTGCAGGGGAGTCTTGCAGAGATCACTTTGCTCGCAAACAAACTCAGAGAGCCCAGAGCGAGAACCTTGAGCTTCTCTCTCTGAAGAGACTGACCTTGACCTCCAGCCAGTCCCTGCCCAAGCCCAGCAGCCAAGGCTTGGCTAAGACTGCAGCCACTGTGTTTAGTAAATCCTTTGAACAGGTCAGTGGTGTCCCAGTCCCACGCAGCCCCTCTCCTGCCGTTGGCTGTGTTGCTGGGGCAGATGCCCATAGGTTTTCTGCTTGTAGTCTCCAAGAAGAGAAGCTCGCTTACGTGTCAGAAAGAACTGAGCTTGCCATGAAGTATCAAGCAAGTCCACAGGGACCTCCCAGTATTAGCATCACTTTGTCCGCAGATTAACTTGTAACTTATTTTTCTCTTATAACCAGTGAGGCTGAAAGATGGCTTTGCTCCTATATGAAAGTACCGAGTCCTTCATGCCTGGTCCTGGCAGGAGGCCTGTGTCTTGAATTTGGAAGGCTCCTTTGACTATGAAGGGAAGAATTAGTAGTTTGCAGAAAACTGAGATATGGTCTTGTAATTTCTTGGGTACCCTTCTCCCCTTGGCTTGAGTTCTTTACTCTTCCTTCCTCCTTACCATCCCTTGTTATTGTTGCTCTAAGATTGTGAACATGACAATAAAGTTTTGTAGTTGTCTGAGTTGGTACATCCTCAGTGAGGTTGTTTTTAATACCTCGTATTGTAGTGTTTGTGTGTTTGCCCTGAGAAGTCAAAGAGAGTCTCTGTATGAGAGGACTTGGCTGTGGAGCCTGGACAGAGGAGCGAATCCATGAAGCCATGACGACAAACAGGCCTGTGGAAAAGAAGAGAGCAGTGAGGATGCCAAGTGCCGTCAAAGCTCTGTGACCACAACATCCTTAAGATGAGGACAGTTTGCTCACACACTGCAAGTTGCCTGGAAGGACAGTTGCAAAGGGAAGGCAGGAGGATTTCTGTTGGTGTCCTTAGAATATTAAATTGCAAAACTGAGATTGCTGGTAGATAATATTTTCGAGTGTTTGATCTGGATTTCACAGGCGAAAGTCCCTTTCGGTTTCTAAAGTGTAACCAGCCATAAAGCTGAATGACTCTGCTGCTCAACTCTGGAATCCTAGTTAGATTGTATTTTAGAGTTCAGAGCTCACATCACAGAAGACTTCCTGGAAACCACTGTAAATCTTGCAACGTAGCTCCCAAGATACCAGTATCAAGCATTTAATAGTGAACTGTCTGCAAATGAAGGAAATAGATAATTTTTCATCTACAAAATGTGATAAAAGAAAATGAAGCCTCTGGACAAAGGACACTACATTATCTTAGGACTGCTTGTATTTGTCTTCCTCAATTTAATATAAGAAAAGAAGAATGTACTTCTCGTTTGTGAGCTTTAAGTGTTCCTGTTATGATGTAGAAAGAATAAATCAGTTACACACCCACCCCTGCCAATCAAACACTTAAACTAAGAAAGGCGGTTAAGGCAGAAGCTAAACAGCTGTGTCTGTAGCTCCGGGGAGCTCTGTGACCTCTTGGGGGACTTGCAGGCTCGGTGCCTGTGCTGATCTGCTCTGTTGGCTAAAGCACTGAGGAAGCCAGTGTGTTCTAGTAGTGATTGGAGTGAGGAAGCAAGGTCAGTGGGGAAGACCCGGGAAGCTGACCACTTCCTGGTTTCCTAGACTCTTAGTACACCAAGGTCTCCTTATTCATGGTCCCTAGCTATGGTCACAAGAACATGTTTTGTGTTTCCGTTTTGAACCTGCGTGGGTCCAGCTCATATTGACGACAAAACTGCATTGTTGTAGAGGGCAAAACATTGACAGCTGAGATCCAGTTCTAAATGCTTACCTACAGGCTAAGACCTGTGCTTCTCAGCATCGATGAGTTTAACATGTTAGTTTCAGTAATGAACGAACTGTCGGCTTAAGTTGTCCTCAAAAGTTATAAGGTAACTAGAGAGTAAGATTGATATTGGAATGATTTAATAGTAATCTTGTGTACCATTGAAAATGTTTGTAAAATGTCACTGTGAAGTTCCTATTGTCTTTTTGTAATTCTTTAGCAAAGAGCTTTTCTTACACATAGTCACTAACAGTATTGATAAATATTAAGAAGAAATTGAAAAGATTGTCGTTAGGCAAGTTAAGGTGCTTGCTTAAGCATAGAATAAGTTTAAAGCAACATTATCTGGCATAAATGAGAGATCAGGATAATATTCAACTACTATAAGGAAGCCTCATTTTGATATTGTTCAAGACATTTGCTACTCATGTGGTTCAAAGACCATTGGTGTGACCTGGTATCTTAATAAAACTTCACAGTTTTAGAGGCAGACCTAGTCAATCAAAACTGGCATTTTAACAAGGTCCCCAATGATGCTTGTGTGCACTCATCTTTGTGCAGGCAGTTTCAGAGTGCTAATTAGTTGTCTAATATGCAGGAGTCTCCGTGGTCTCACAGCCTGCAAGCACAGATATTGGATACTAGATCTTCATACCGTCATTAGTTTTGACAGCTCGTTAACTTTCTAATAATATAGACACATGACTTGTTACACCCTCTCATTTTAAGTTCCTAGTTCTCACTTATTTCTGTAGTAAAAATGAGGCATCGTCTGCTTCTCTTATTGATTGTGAATGAAACCAGAGCCTCAGATGCTGCAGCTTTTCAGAGGAAAGGCGCTACCTTTGGTTTTGAACTGTTCCGTGAGGCACAGCTTGTTTGCATGTGTTCATGCTCCTTTACGGCTCTGTAACAGCTTACACCATGAAGTGAGTCTGAATTTTGGCTCCAAATGATTTACAACAATTGATTCTCTGGAATGTGGAATTATGTTAACAATAGATTCTTTGTACTCCTTTTGATACTATTTCAAATATGATTGTGTACATTGAAGGCTTTTTATAACAGTTGTAAAAGTCAGATGATGTTAACTACGGTAACAATTGTTATTATACTCACAAGTCTTTCCCTACTCACCTTTCAAATGTGAAAGGTTGGGTAGATTTGTGGGTCACTTTTCTATAAAGTTGTTAAGTGGATCCAGAGTAATAGCTCTTGCCAAGAGGATTCCACACAGGACTGGGGTCTGGCACCCCATAGTTCAGCTATAAGATAGGGTTCTTGAATTGGCCTGACCCTTGCATTCTTAGAGCTGTGC